ACCGGTCCGGGTGGGTTAATTAGACCGGGCAACAATGGACCCGGTCAAACCTGGTCAAAACCCGGTCGACCCGGCCTTGACCCGGTCAACCCGGGACAATGACCCGGCTGGGTCAACCCGGTTGACCCGGTCTATATGTATTTTTTTATTTTTTTTTTGTTTTTAAATTTTCTTTTTCTTTTTAAAAAATAAAATTATGTATATATATTTATATAATAAATATATACATATTATTACCACTTTAATCTACAAATTTTACATACAAAATATTTAAATTTGTTATTTTTATGTATATTTATATATCACAAAATACTCTATATATAATTTTATAAATTTTAAAATTAATTATCTGGTTCAGCAATTGACCCGGTGACCCGGCGGTTGAACCGGTGACCCGGTGACCCGAAGACCTGCCCGGGTCGATTACCGGGCCGGGTTTAAAAACTATGGCTAAAACACTGAAACATCTAAACGAGACAATCAACTAAATTAAACACACTTACAAACTCCAACAAAATTAAACGACACTTAAAAACTATAACATTAGTTTACAATGCATCGAGTCTAGTCTTGTCTATGTGGCATTAATTAAACTCAAGTTTTAGATAACATAAATAAAACTATATTAAATTAAAAAAATTCACTCTAATGCAAAGAGACTAGATCTTTACTTGGGTCTAATATAGACTTAAGAGTAGACCGGGTCTCTTTTTCTGGCTGACACATCAGCAGGACCAGTCTATTTTTATTTGAATTGGAAACTATATGTTTTTAGACTTAGTCTATTTCTTAGGTGGGCAGATAATTTTTTGTGATTTAACCAAAAACATTGTGAATTCTCTAAGGGGTATATTTGGATACAAATAAAACTCAATCTATATTCACTCCATACTCAAAATCTATTTTGTATACTCAATCCATATAAATATGTGATGTCACCTAATATATTTTTTTTAACTATTTTGTTAAAAAAAAATCTATTTTGTTAAAAAAAATTAGATTTTGTATACTCAATCCATATACTCAAAATCTATTTTTTAACTATTTTATTAAAAATAAATCATGTTTAAAAATATTTAAATTCACATTTTGTATATAAAGATAGAATGTGTAAAAAAAATTTGTGTAACAATATATTTAAAATATTATAAGTCTACTTCACGTTAAATTTTTTTAGAGAAGATTTACATAGTATATATAAATTAATAGTGAGATTTTTTTAAGTTATTTACTGTAAAAAGAATTCTGTAACAATTTCACGTTTTATGCGCACGTTTGATTTATCAATTTTACAAATAAAATTGAGATTAATGGGAAATATTATACGAGGTACATGGATTTGCCATTGGGGATGGGAAAATCCAAAGTGGAGGCCTTTAATTTTTTCCTTAAGCTGTCAGAGGAAGAATTATAAGCTGAAAAAATAAGGTCGTATCTACCGCAGCCAAGGAAGTCCTTATTAAAGCAGCCCTAAATGCTTAGCCTATTTTTGTAATGGGTTGCTTTAAATTTCTTGTTTCTGTCTACAAGGAAATATTTGGACTTTGTGCATATTATTGGTGGGCCAAAAGGAGTAATTATAGTAGATGCATTCTCTGTAAATCGTGGCAACTGTGGAGGTTGGTTACCAGGCCAGATCATCTTATTTGCAGAGTACTCTAATCACGGTACTTTCCTTCTTCCTCTTTTATTGATGCTATAAGGAAATGAGGAAGTTCCTAGTTCTAGAACAGTTAGATGGATGTAAAGCAAAAATTTGACCAACTATTTCGGGTTGAACTGAACAATGGCAGAAATACTCTTATTTCGGGGTATTCATGAGTGAAGTCTTTGGGAAGCAAAAGGCTAGTATTCAGGGAAGGTATCCGGTCTTCTTGTGTATGGGTTGACGAATTATTATTAGATGATGGAAGGAACTGGAATAAGGAACTCGTGAATCATTTATTTGATAAAAGACAATGAAGAGGCCATGTTGCAAATGAAACAACTGAGTCAGAGAAGGAAGATAATTGGGTGCGGAATCCAAATAAGAAGGGTAAGTTTTCAGTTACTTCTATTTATGCTAGTCTGGCTATGAAAAAAGCGCTGAGGTTTGATAGGCCTGAGGGAAGGAAAACTTACATCTGTTGAGTAAAAAAATGGGCAGCTGAGCCCATACCTTTTGACAATCCCAACATCTTAAAACATTTGAAATCAGCAAAAGAAGAAAAGAGGAAGCTCACAGATGTTGAAAAATGACAGCACACAATGGAAGAAAAATAAAGCACCAGTTTTTTGAAAAAGAAGGTGCATTTCACTCTATAAATAGATGGAAACGGATGAAGCAAATACAACAACAAAAATACAGAAAGAAAAGAGAGAGAGAAAAAGCTAATAAAAATTTAGCTTTTGTATATTTTTGAGTTGTGAGTTGTGAGTGAGTTTACGAGTGTTTTGTAAACACGAGTGTTTTCTTTTCTCCTAATAAAATATCTGCAGTAGTCCGGAGACGTAGGCATTATTGGCCGAACTCCGTTATCAATTTGGCGTGTCCAATTTTTTGTTTTTATTTCACTTTTATTGATCCGACTTCATGGAAATTTCAGCGTATTTTTCCGAACAACTGGTATCAGAGCCAGATTGTCAATTCTGTAAATTTTTTTTGTGTGGGTTACTATTCCGTGAATAGTAAAAAACGGGAATAGTGTCAAATTTGTCGACGCTACAAATTTATCTACCTACGTGTTCTTAAACACGGTAGTTCACAAAATTTACAGAAACGATCCGGCAGAGAAGTCAGATCAGAGTCGAAGTGATGGCTGCAGACGAAGGAAAAATGAAAATTGAAAAGTTCGATGGTGCGGACTTTGGCTTCTGGAAGATGCAGATCGAGGATTATCTATACCAGAAGAATATGTATCAACCACTCACGGGAAAGAAGCCAGAGGATATGAGGGAGGAAGAATGGAGTCTCCTTGACAGACAAGCCCTTGGAGCCATTCGGCTGACGTTATCCCGTAATGTTGATTTTAACATTGCAAAAGAAAAACGACAGCAAGCCTCATGAAGGCTCTTTCCAACATGTACGAGAAACCATCAGCCTCAAATAAAGTCCATTTGATGAGGCAATTGTTCAACCTTCGGATGACCGAAGGTGCTCCGGTGGCGCATCATCTCAATGAGCTCAACACCGTTACAACCCAGTTGAGTTCAGTTGGGATCGAGTTCGATGATGAAGTACGGGCTTTAATACTTTTGTCTTCCCTACTAGAAAGTTGGAATGCTACGGTCACGGCTGTGAGCAGCTCATCGGGAAGCAATAAGTTGAGATTTGATGATGTCCAAAATTTTGTTCTCAGTGAAGAGATCCGGCGGAGGGAGTCGGGTGAACCATCAACCTCTTCTGTATTGCATACAGAGTCGAGAGGAAGAAGTTCAACCAAAGAAAGCAGACATATCAAATCAAAGGGAAGAAGATCCAGGTCCAGAAATCATCGTAGTTCCCAAAACTCGAAGTCGATCGAGTGCTGGAACTTGGGAAGACCGGGCACTACAGAAATCAGTGCAAGAGTGCACCGAAGGGTCAGGAGACAAAAGAAGAGGCAAATATAACTTCAACCTCTGGAGGAGATTTGCTGATATGTTCTTTGGAGAACAGAGAAGAGTCTTGGGTGTTAGACTCTGGAGCATCCTTTCATGCTACCTCACAGAAGGAACTATTCGAGAATTATGTTCCTGTAAATCTTGGTAAAGTTTACCTTGGTAATGAGCAATCATGTGAGGTTGTCGGCAAAGGTGCAGTAAAAATCAAGTTGAACGGGTCTGTTTGGGAATTGAAAAATATCAGACATATTCCCGACTTGACGAAGAATTTAATCTCCGTAGGCCAGCTAGCCAGTGAAGGCTACACGACAATCTTCCATGGTGATGATTGGAAGATTTCAAAGGGCGCGATGACAATTGCTCGAGGCAAAAAGAGTGGTACTCTTTACAAGACCAAAGGAGCATGTCATCTGATTGCAGTTGCAACAAATGAAAGTCCCAATCTATGGCACCAAAGACTTGGGCATATGAGTGAAAAAGGGATGAAGATCATTCACTCAAAAGGAAAATTACCAGGCCTCCAGTCATTAGAAATTGACATGTGTGAAGGTTGTATACTTGGAAAGCATAAGAGAGTCAGCTTTCAGACAAGTAGAAGAACCCCAAAGAAGGAGAAGCTTGAGCTCATCCACTCTGATGTTTGGGGTCCAACGACTGTCCCATCCGTTGGTGGGAAGCAATATTTCGTGACTTTTATCGATGACCACTCCAGAAAGGTATGGGTTTACTTTCTGAAACACAAGTCAGAAGTATTTGAAGCTTTCAAGATTTGGAAAGCTATGGTGGAAAATGAGACAGGCTTGAAGATCAAGAAGCTCAGGCCGACAATGGTGGTGA